CTGGGCAACTTGGGGAGACCTCATCTCTACAGTAAATCAAAAAAATTAGCCAGGTGTGGTAGCGCGCGCTTGTAGTTCCAGCTACTTGGAAGGCTGAGGCGGAAGGATCGCGGGAGCCCAGCAGGTCGAGGCTGCGGTGGCTGGGAGCGGCCACTGCACGCCAGCCTGGGCAACAGAGTGAGACTCCAACTCAAAAAAAAACCACAAAAATTCATGCTCTTCGTAGAAATGCTGAAAAATACAGAAAAGTGAATTAGAAATCAGCATATATTTTGGGGGGTGGTTTTGTTTTTGGTTTTTGTCCTAAACATTTCTGTTGACGCATGACTGGAACTTACTTTTGAAAGCTTAAGTAGATAAAAGCTTATTTTTCTACTAGGGTGGAGTAGAAAAGAACACCAGACTGTAGAATCAGAAGACCCCAAACTCGTTCTGGCTCAGCTATTTGTTTTAACTTCTTGATGTTGGTCAAATCAATACTAATGTTTGTCTAGCACTTTACAATGATTTCACACAGGTTTTCTTATTGACATTCAGTAGAACAGGTATTTATCATCAACCTTATCTTAAAGATGAGGAAGCTGAGATGACCTTAGGTGAAAGAGTTTTTCTTCCAAGGTTATGTGGCAGAAAATGGCAGGACTTCTGATACTAAATCCAGTGTTCTTCCCACTATTATACTGCCTTTTTGAACTTAAAAAAAAAAAAAAGTGTTTGGCCAGGTACTGTGTCTCTCGTATTTAATCCCAGCACTTTGGGAGGTGGAGGCAAGAGATTGCGTTGAGTCCATGGGTTCGAGACCAACCTGGGCAACTTGGCGAGACCGTCTCTCTACAGTAAATCAAAAAATTAGCTGGGCATGGTGGTTCCTGCCTGTAGTTCCAGCTACATGGAAGACTGAGGTGGAAGGATCACCTGAGCCCAGCAGGTCAAGGCTGCCATGACTGTGATTGTGCCATTGCAGTCCAGCCTGGGTGACAGAGTAAGACTCTGACTCAGGAAAAAAAAATCTTTAAAGTGGGACTAATCTTGCCCTTTCCTCATGAACTGATGTGTGAAGATCAAAGGGCATACTGTATATAAAAGCACTTTGAAAACTGTTAAGTTTTATGTAAATGTAGTCAGTGGTGTTGTTATAGAAGGTACTACTACTGGCCTGAAGTTTCATTTTATTTCATAAACGACCCAAGGGTATTTATCTCCTCTAGGGAAGCCACTGCATGTTCTCCTGATGCTCTATCTTCTAAATTTTTTTTCCTTTGCTGCTTTCACTTGACTGTAGAATCTGACAGAAGTGTCTTCTACTCCACCCAGTTTTGCTCCCCCAGAGTTTCCTTTTTATGAGACAGGGTCTTGCTTTGTTGCCCCGGCTGGAGTACAGTAGTGTGGTCATAGCTCACTATAATCTTGAACACCTGTGCTCAAATAGTCTTCTTGCCTCAGCCTCCTGAGTTGCTGGGACTGCAGGTGGGCACCACAGAGTGCCCACCTGCACCACCAAGAGATAAGCTCTTGCCCAGGCTTATCTCCAACTCCTGGCTTCAAGCTATCTTCCCGCTTTGCCCTCCCAAATTGCTGTGATTACAGGCATGAGCTACTGGTCTCAGCCCTCCCAGAGTTTCTAACCAAATTCCTTTTGTAGTTTTTATATTACACACATCTTTTGCTGTGAAAAGACAGTGCTCTACACCCAGGAAAGAAAGTCTGTAGAGACTGGCTTTTATGGCTACTTGAGTGATCTCCACCCCCAAGGTAGGTTCTACTCTGAGCCAGCTAGGGAATGTTAATTTGAGGTTGCAGCATTCTTGATCTGATAATAGTCTAAATCTTCTCTGGAGACTCCTCATGCTTAAGTCTGGGGGATGGGGAAGAGGGTAGCTGAGCTGAATCAGATGCAAGTTTTGCTTTGAAGGTGACAGTTCCTGCACAATTAACTGGAATCCAAAACACCTGAAAAAAGCTGAAAGCATGAGGGTGAATTGGGTGTGCTGTTTGTCCAAATCTATGCTTGCTCTCATTTGGGCTAAATGTGGTGTTATTGGGGAGGGATTACTGGGTTATACTAGAAGAAGATTATGTATTTAGGACATTGGGGCCTTCTTAGGATTCAGTATCTGTTAAATAGTTGTGGTTAGATAGAGGGAGATTCAGTAGTGCCAAAACTTGGTAAACAGAATAATTTATTGAAGGCAGTAGGCATTCCATCTCCAGTTACTGGTGTGGTTTTGAGGCTGCTCCCTAGAGAGACGGATTCAGTATTACTAATTCAGGGATTTAGGTCCAAGTTGAGGGAGAGGATGGGGCATCTAGATTCCGCATTCTTGGAACATTAAAGCCCTGCCCTAGTTGAACCCAAATTTCTTGGATTGCTCTGAAACTAAACAGAAAGACCTACCTCCTGGGGGTGGTAGGGAAAAGCATCAAGCTAATAACCATTTACGTCTTCAAATTCTCTACCATGTCGGATGATCACTTAGTGGCTATTAGACTGTCTCAAAATGCCTGTGGACCTGTAGGACAAGAGATAGGGTATAAATATGCCAGAGGAGAGGTATGCCATTTAAACGGAGGTACAAATGATCTTCAACTTACGATGACTCGATTTAATGATTTCTTGACTTGATGATGATGCACGTCTTACACATTCTTTAGAAACTGTACTTCAGATTTTGAATTTCAGTCTTTTCCCAGGCTAGTGGTATGTGGTATGCTATTCTTACATGAGATATTCAACAGTATTATAAAGTAGACTTGTGTTAGATGATTTTGCCTGACTTTAAATTAATGTAAGTGTTTTGAGCACATTTAAGGTTAGGCTATGATGTTTGGTAGGTTAGGTGTAAATGCATTTTTGACTTATATTTTCAATGTACAATGGGCTTATTAGGATATAATATCCATTGTCAGAGCATCTGCAGTTTTGTTTTGTTTTGAGTTGGAGTCTCACTCTGTCGCCAAGGCTGGAGGGCAGTGGCACGCTCCTGGCCACCTCAGCCTCAACCTGCTGGGCTCCGGTGGTCCTTCTGCCTCAGCCTTCCAAGTAGCTGGAACTACAGGTGCGTGCTACCACACCCAGCTAATTTTTTGATTTTTATTATAGAGATGAGGTCTTGCCAAGTTGCCCAGGTGGGTCTCGAACCCGCGGGCTCAGGCAATTCATTCACCTCAGCCTTCCAAAGGCACGGTATTACAGGCTGAGCCACCGAGCCCGGCATTGCAGTTTTAACCAATAATAAGATTTATGAAGGGCCTTTACATTTCAGTTCATAATTTTCTTTTTTTTTTGAGTTGGAGTCTCTGTCTCCCAGACTGGAGTGCAGTGGCTGGGAGCAGCCTCGACCTGCTGGGCTCCGGCGATCCTTCCGCCTCAGCCTTCCAAGTAGCTGGAACTACAGGCGCGTGCTTCTATGCCCAGCTAGCTTTTTTGATTTATTGTAGAGATGAGGTCTTGCCAAGTTGCCCAGGCGGGTCTCGAACCCGTGGGCTCAGGCAAAATCCACTCACCTCAGCCTCCCAAAGTGCGGGATTACAGGCTGAGCCACCGAGCCCGGCTTATAATTTTCTTAGACACCATTGCCCTTCCCCCAATTTAATTTACTTAATAGTCACATAAATATTAAACCTTCAGATACAGCTAGCTGTGAGTTAATGGTTGAGTAATATTAAAAAAAAAAAAAAAAGTTACATGGCATGTGTAAATTGGGCCTGGGATAAATGTCTTCTAAAACTAGACTTTTTTTTTTTGAGTTGAAGTCTCACTCAGTCACCAGGGTGAA